CGCGAGGCCACCACCTCGCATAAGTCCGCCTGGGGAGAGATCTGGCGCAGGATTTGGCACGCGCTGGACGACTTCGGCGATCTCAGCAGCGACGGCCTCACGGTGCGGAAGGTCAAGGGCCACGCGACTTTCAAGGAGGTGGACGAGGGCAAGATCACTCTCCGCAGTCGGCGAGGCAACCACGAAGCTGACCGAGCGGCGAAGTTCGTCACGGAACACTTCAGGGCGCCGATGCAGGCGCGCGAGGCCAGGAGGACAAGGGCGCTCACCTTGGACGGTGCGGTCTTCTGGGTATCGCAGGCAGGCGCCGAAGCTGCTGACCTCAGGATCGACTTTCGTGACAAGTACAGGGAGCCCGAGTCCAAGGGCCCCAGGCTCCACATCATCAAGCACGAGCTGGTCAAGATCAAGGGCGGAGCAGAGGGCGTCCAGGCGCTCCACTGTCTGCGCTGCCTGCTGTCGGCCTTCACTGACATCTCGACCAAGAACCTCCCAAGGCAGAGCTGCACGCCGAAGGCCTTCGCTCCCGACGCCTACACCAGTGGGGGCAAGAAGCGGCCGAGCGCCTCGGACCTGGCGCACGCTGGAGCCGCAGCGGTGGCGGTCGCAGCAGCCCGCCGTTTCGTGGAGGACGAGAGCCAGCCCACCCATGCCAGCGGTGAGGCATGCAGCAGCGAGGCGAGCTCCTCCTTCGTTCAGCATCGTGGCGAAAGCCAGATTCTGGGATCCGTCGGTGACGGTGATCTGCGTGCTGGCGAGGGCGGTCAGCATCGTGGCGAAAGCCAGATTCTGGGATCCGTCGGTGACGGTGACCTGCGTGCTGACGAGGAGCAGCCGTCGGCGGGCTCCTCTCCCTTTCGGCATCGTGGCGCGAGCCAGAGTCTGGGATCCGTCGGTGACGGTGACCTGCGTGCTGACGAGGAGCCGCCGACGGCAGGCGACGGGGGAGCCAAGGCCCAGCCTGCTGCGCCGCCGCCCAGCGGCTCTGGCGCGCTCGACGCGGACGGAGGCGGCCACGACCTGCGCACGTACTTCGGGTACCGCGTCTGCCTGAAGTGCTTTCAGTACGCGAAGGAGGTGAAGGGCAAGCACAGGGGGCTCGGCATGGCCTGTGCCCCAGCGCTCAAGCCCAGCGCCCAGGCGGAGCGCAGGAGTAAGGCCGTGAAGATCATGAGGGGAGAGGCTCCGTCTGGGAGGCCACTCGCGTGACGGCGTCGCGGCGGGCTCCACTTCTACTGAGCTGCCGCCCGCGACGCAGCTGCGTCGCCGCCGCTCTGCCCTGTCGAGTTGCCGCCGTTTGCGGCGACCCCAGAGGCGGCCAACAGGGCTGCCGTGCGGCCTGCGACGCAGGAGCTGGACGTGCGCGCTGCGCGCACTCAGGCTGCTGAGAAAAAAATCTCGGCGCCGAGGGCGCAACCTATGGCGCAACCGATAGGAGACGGCTTGTTTCATTCTCAGCCGCCGAGGGCGCAACTTACGGCGCAACCGGTAGGAGACGTTTTTATTTTTCGGCCGCCGAGGGCGCAACTTATGGCACAACCACTAGGAGACTGTTTCTACACGACCGGCTTCTGCCATTCCGCTGGCATCCTTGCGGCACGGTCCGTGACCTGGTCCGGCGTTGAGCCGCTCTCTTGAACCGCAAGCGGGCCTGCGAGGGCGTCGAGGACCGAGGTGCCAGGAGAAGGAGGATGAGCAGGAGGAGGAAGAGAAATGAGGACGAGGTCCTACACGAGGACGACAAGGAGGAGCTGGACCAGGAGGCAGACGAGGAAGACGAGGAGGATGAGGAAGAGAAGGACGAGGAGGAGGACGACGACGACGATCAGGATGTGGAGGAGGACCGGGAGGAACACGAATAGTACGAGGACGAAATGTGGGCATTCGAATGCGTGCAGGGCTAGGCCCGATTTATGCTGGCCGTTTGGGCTGGCGGCGGGGCCCAAGCGGCGAGCTGCCTTGTGATTACGCGTGCAGTTTTCTGAACTGGGCATGCCCGTAGGTATGGCGGCTATGTGGTCGCCGTCGCCGCCTCGTCGCCGCCCATCTTCTTAGCCTGCCAGTCGGTTTGGCGGCTATGTGGTCGCCGTCACCGCCCCGTCGCTCTGGGCCTGCCCATCGGTCTGGCGACTATGTGGTCGCCGTCGCCGCCCCACCACAGCTTACACAACATAGCTTACAGCATATATATATATATATATATGTATATATGTTCCTCTCCCTATATTTTTATAAGCCCAGGCGGGGGGAAAACCCGTCACACCACCACCACCCCAAAACCGGACTCCCGGGACCTGGGGATTTGAAGCCCTCCGAACGGGCCTCGAAGCGGCCACCGGGCCTCGCAAGGCGTTTTGCCAAGCCTTCCCAGCACACTTAGGGCGATCAGGGGGGTCATCGGAGACGTCCCAAAGACCCCCAAGACAACAAGAGCGCTCCAAGAGTGACCGACGTGACCTCAAGATGGCCCAAGAGGCCTCCAGGACGGCCCCAAAGAGGCCTCCAAGAGCACTCCCAAGAAGGCCCCCCGAGGCAAAAATCATTGATTTTCTGTGGGTTTTCGGTGAATTTTCGGGTTCTCCTCTTTTCGGCTTCCCGACGCTCCAAGACGGCGGTCTTCTGGGCGTCCGAAGCCGCCTGGGAGGCTCCCAAATCGCCCCACAACCATCCGAAAGGGCTTCCAGGCAGTCCAAGAGAACCCCAAAACGGCACAACACGGGTCCAAGATGGCGCTCAGAGAGCCCCATGGCGGCCCAAGATGGCCCAAAGACACCCTCCGAAGAATTCCAAATCGTGATTCGGTCGTTCAGGGAGACGGCGGTTGGAGGCAGGGTGGCCCGAGGAAGCCCCCGGAGGCCCCCAGAATACGCCCAGGAGGCCTCCAGAAGGCCTTAAGAAAGCCCGAAACAACTTTTGAGAGGCCCCTAGAGGCTCTCCAAGGAAGAGCCTCCGCAAAAAAGAGCTGAGGAGGATGGGGAGAATGCGCAGGGTATGGCGAAAAGAAGGAACAACAAGCATGGAGGAAAGATAACGAATAACATCATTATAGCGGTGATGCCGGAAAAGGCAAACAGGAGTTATCGCTAAATTGTCGGCTTGACCTTCCTGCCATTCCGCACGCATACCAAATTTCAAGGACCAAGGTACATGGCGCGAAGCGCCACTGCAGTCTTGTATATATATATATATATATATATGTTTACAATCTGGGACCCTGCGACCCCCCCCCCCTCAACGGGACCCCTCCGGATCCTTGGCCCCAGGGGTACACTGGACGCCCTTGCAGACGGTCCCGTGTGCTTTCGGGGCTTCCGAAGCCCTTGCTGGGCCTAGGCAACAGGCCCAAATCGGTCAGGATGCGGCCAGACTGCCCCGCGAGAGCCCACAGAGGCCCCAGACACCCACCAGACATCCAAAAACGACCCAGATAAGACCGCCAAGAAACATTCGAAACGCAAAGAACATGGACGTCCTTTGGTTTTTGCATGATTCTGGGACGGCTCAAGTCTTCGTTCTTCCAGGCGTCCGAGATTGCCCAGGAGGCCAGAGCATCGCCCCAAGTTTAAACAAGAGGGCTTCCAGACAGTTCAAGAGGAGCTCCAAAAGACGGCCCAACAGGGCCCCAAGATGACCCGAAGAGAGCCCCATGACGGCCCAAGATGGTTCCAAGACGCCCCCCGAGTCGTTCAGGGAGACCACGGTTGGAAGCAGGGTGGCCCAGGGAAGCCCCCAGTGGCCCCCAGAAGGAACCCTGGAAGTTTCCAGAAGGCCTCAACAAGCCCTTAAAACCTTCGTGAGATTTACAAGAGGCTCTCCTAGGATGAGACTCCACAAAAAGAGCTATGGATGGTGGCGAATTCGCAGGGTAGGGTGAGAATGAGGGAGTGGAAGAGGAAGCATCAGGGAAGGATAACGAATAACAACATTAGAACGACGATGCCCCAAAGAGCAACAATGATTTGTCGCTACATGTTCCGTTGTACCTCATTGCTTCCTGCCTGCATGCCAAACTTTCAGGACCAAAGTGCATGGCGCGAAGCGCCAATGCAGTCTTATATGTATACAGACATACACACAAACACATACATACATACATACATACATACATACATACATACATACATACAGACAGACAGACAGACAGACAGACAGACAGACAGACAGACAGACAGACATAGATACATACATGCATGCATGCATACATACATACATGCAGATTGCACCAGGTAGACTGCACTACACTGCTTGCACCAAACAGCATGCTGAACACACACTTTGTCGGGCCCACGCTGGCCAACATGCTGCGCCTCTCAATACGGTGCTTTGCTGGAGTGATTCGGGAGCCCGTCCCTTGGTTGCGGCGCAGGGACGTCTCGCGGCTGCATGGCCGGCAGGCGGCCAAAGGGGCTGTTTGGGGCGGCCTCGCGGGCGGCTCTCGTGCTGGTTCGGTTCTCGTGTTGCGCGCGCTCTGGGATCGGGGGAGAGAAAGATACGGATACGTGTTGTCCCCCTTCGTTTTCGGCCTTTCCTGGTCCTCCTGGGGAATCCTCGTTGTCACCGCTGGATTCGCCTCGAAATTCTGGTCAGAACGCACCCCAAGAGAGGTCCGGGGACAACACGTATCCGTATCTGGGAGGCGCACCACAGTGGGTCGTTGAGGAGCCTTGCCTTCGCTTCGAGACGGGGACCAGAAAGAAGAGCGAAAGCCGTTGCTTTGGTCAGCGCTTGCTCCTGGCCTTCTTCGGGACAGGATCAGCTCCGGGCACGGATATTGGGAGACCACGTGGTGCTCACCTCGTCAGACGCGCAGAATGCTCGGACTTCCTTGTGAGCGCTAGGAACGTGGAAGCTCGCACCCCGCGTGTTCACGGAATTTCTTGCGCACGTCTCGGCTGAACTTCCCCCGCCCCTTGGACCTAGCGGGGCTGGGCAGGCGGGTGCCCTCGCTGGGGGGTCGAACAGTTTCACGCGCCAAATCATGCCTTCATGGGGGGCCCGAGGCTTTTAACAAGATCGCGCCGTTTGGCAAGGAGGACACCGCGGCGGCATGCGGCGCCCCCCATCCACTGATCGGCGACGGCAGCCACTGCGGCACTCTCTGCCTTGGTGTCAGGGTAACACGCCTTGCCCGTCGCTTCTTCTCTGGGCGTTCTCGCTCGCCCGCCACCGTTCATGACGGATTGCATCCAGAGGAACAGGGGTGCAAGGCGTTGTCTTGCGTCATCCACCACGCACAGGACACCGCGAAGGAGCTGCAGGATCATGCCGCGAAGACGCAGGACCCCGGTAGCAGGGCGGAGTAGAATGGCGATACAGGCCTGGTGATTGGTGAGTTCGGAGGGGGCACACACACACACCAAGATCAGCGTGTGGAAAGACCAGCAGCAGACGTCGAAGCGTTTCCGGGCTCGGACAAAGTGAGTGTCATCGATTGTGGTTCAAGTTTCGGGGGGGCGGTCGGAAATTGCCGAAAGGAGCAGAGCGGCATCAAAGATGTATACAACGTTTCTCTGTCGGGGGCTGGAAAACGGACGGTCCGCATTCGAAGGAGGCAGTACCCCATCACCCGCCCGCATTTCACCTTGAGGTGCGTGAACCTTGTGCCCACGATTTCAGATGGAGGGTCACAGCTTGTCAGGTCTTTGCTTGAGCTGTTTGTTGCAAGCACGCAGGGACCACATCGGGCGCGGCAAGAAGTCCCTATTGTCTAGCCATCGCTGAATCGCAAACTACTCCTACGAATATGGCAGGTCGCTTCGACAGTGGCGCACCAAACATTGCGGACCAGAGGACGTTGGCAAGGCGCATTTGTAAGAGGAGGAGGAGGAGGAGGAGGAGGAGGCGGAGCGGGAGGAGGAGGAGGAGAAGGCGGAGGATGAGCTTGATGAAAATCTGGGGAATGGCCCCTCGTTGGAACAAAAGGCAGACGGGCTAACCTCTTGAGATGGGAATGCGGTACGAAGAGGCACGGTGGAAGCATGGGAACTGGAAAATTCGCCGAGGATTAAATCGAAGGCAGCAAGCTGCAGGAGACGCAGTCGACATGATGGCATGGGGAGAACGTGTTATCTTGACAAGTTGGGGTATGTGTTCACGTCGTTTAGTGAGGGCATGAGTATCGCTCTTAGGAAGAGCATCGCGATCTCATATCCATGACAGCTTGAGGCTGCCACGCTAGCACAAAGAGCATTTACATCAGGTGCAGTTCCATGGCTGTAAACCAATCCAGGTGCAGCACTCATGGGAGATAGGCACGTTGCTTACACGACGTGGAGTTGCATGCCATATTTGAATATTGCGTGAGGGAAGTGTTGGCGGTGGGCTTGTAGAACTGTTCCAAGTGTCGACCCAGATGTTTGACAAAGTTACACTGGCCCCAGTAGCAGGGAGCCCATGCCAGAACTCCTCGCAGGCAAGTCAAACGTGGTGGCATGGTGTTAATTCTGAGGAATATGTGTACGCACTTCCACGGTATTCCCACGTTGTTGGCAGGTACCACCCCCAACAATCGAACGCAAGACACTGATGGATTGGACGCGTACGATGGACACATACAAGTGCAAAGTACATACGCAAAGCACTGGCTCAAGCCGTTTGGCTCAGTCCGTTTGGTTGAAGTCGGTGTGGCCCGTTTATTCCAGGCACCCCACCTGGCCCGATTGCATTCGCTCCCCCAGGGAGAGTTTCGCCCAGTCTGGGCGGTAGCTTCTGGACTTCGATGCAGAACGTGGGGACCGCCTGCATGGAACGCCGCGGCGACCCGCGTGTCAGCAATCCCCACTCGCAGGTGCGACCTGGATAGCGGAGAAGGCCCGAAGCCCGGCTTGGAGTGATGAGAAGCGTCGCTCAGCCTTATCGTGACAATCAGCGGGGCAGGCGTGATGGCTTCGCCACAGCTCTCCAAGAAGGGGGGTATTTACTTGTCGTGTGCGCACTGATCTTATGCGGCACCACAATCGGACAAGTTGTGAAAGCGATGCGGAAAAGTATCATGGCACAGAACACTTCTCAAGAGGGGACGGCAGACGGCGAATCGTCTCCCATGGGAATTTCAGGCGGGCTGGCTTCGGCGAGTTGAGGGAGTCGGCCGTTGCTGCCATGGTACTGTGATGCTTCGTGTAACTATCTGCCGGTTCCTCAGACTTGCCTGTGAGTTTCTTGGGTCGATGGTTTTCTTTACGGCCGGATCACTCCTCCTGGTCACTTATCTTTTTCTTCGCACCAGTGGCGTTTTTGCCTTACCTCATCGCCCTTGCCACGTTGTTGCCTCTTGGTCTTGGCACAGTTTGGGTACGTTGTTTTCTCGTCGTCTTCAAGGCCACAGTGGACACAAAGCGGCTGCGGGAGTTGCCTGAGTTGGGCGAGGACATGTTCTTCAATAAGTGGCCAGAGATTGCACTAGACTGGATGATGTCGTTGCCAGGTTGATGAGCGCTCTCGAAGCGAACGCCAATACACACTCAGTGCTATGCGAGATGGAGGGTCCAAAGCAATTCCCGCACGCCTTCATGACTGCGCTGGGGACTGGGTGTTGTGCACTTGGCCGTCAGTCATGACGGCGAGCTTCGTCGGGCATGGCCAGTTCGTCCAAAGCGACAGTGCCAGCTGTGTGGCGCCCGTCTCTGCCAACCAGACCTGGACGTTCACAAGAGAACTCAAAGGTTAGATTGGCCTAAAAGCGAAAGTGGTGTAAGAGTTCGTTTTGTGTTTCTTATGGTAACATTGCCAATCGTCTTACTGCTCACGCACATGGACAGATCCCATTCCTTACTGACATTCAAATGTACGAAAGCATTGTTTCCAGCAGGGTATCGTATCAACAAGATGGTGAGGGTATCCATTGTGATCGCGTTCGTATTCAGTCCCAGGTTAGTACCAGACGTTGGGGATGCTGTGTTTTTTGTGTGTTCCATAGTTGGTCCGTTGTTGCAAGTGGGGTGTCCTATGTATGTTAGCAACAGTGTCGTCCGTCGGTCGCTTCACACCTTGATGGTGGCGGTGGCGGTGTTGACATTCACGATAGGGCTGGGGCAGTCACTCCAGGTTATGTTGCGCGTCGAGGTGCAGACCATTTGTACAGAACTTAGTTCTTCAGGGGCGAATCAAGACAACTCTTCCTATTTCCCTCGAGATATCACAACTATGCACATGCTATCGCTAGCAGCAGCATCTGCAAAGCATCACATAGCGGGGCATGTTATAGCAGACATACATATTTAGATCTAGGTAACGGCGTTCGGCCCATCCCGCCACCGTGTCTGGGTTGCTGGCCCGAATTTTCAGGAATGTTTCTTCGGGTCTCTTCGGAGCGCTTTCGGGGGCCTCTTGGGAGCAGTTTGGAAGCATTTGGGAACCTTTGGGGGGCCTCCTGGAAACCTCTTAGGGGCCTCTTGGGGCCTTCTTGGGGCCTTCTTGGCGCCTCTTAGGCCTCCTGGGGGCCCATCGGGGCCGAGGGCTTGAAATATCCGTCCGAGTTCCCCATCTGGGCCCCCCCTTGTGGCCGTCTTTGGGCCGTCTTGGGCGCCTCTTGGGCCGCCCTGGGGTCATCTTGGTCCGTCGTGGGGGCCTCTGGGGCCGTCTTGGGGCGATCTTGGGGGCCTCGTGGGCCGTCTTGGAGTGTCGGGAAGCCGAAAAGGCGAGAATTCCAAAATCCGTCAAAACGTAAGGAGAATCAATGATTTGGGCTTCTTGGGGCTCTCTTGGGAAGCCTCTTGGAGGCCTCTGGGGGTGTCTTGGAGACCTCTTGGGCCGTCTTGGGGCCGTCTTGGAGCGATCTTCCGGCGATTCGGAGCACTCTTGGACCATCTTGGGGGTCTCTGGGGCGCTTTTGGTCCGTTTTGAAGCAGTCCTGGGCCCCATAAAGTCTTGCAACAAGCCGCGAGGAACCGCTAGATGTGAGAATGTGGGGCCCAGGCCTTTTCAAGGTTTTTAAGAAGTGCGGATTGAGGCTTAGAGGATTGGGCCCAGGACCTGAGGACACGCCCACTCCGTGCCCAGCGGCACGGTGGTGGATTAGTTGCTCGGTATAATGATATCTTGGTAGATCCCACTCGTTGCCTGGACGACATGACTGGTGAGGAGTGCAATCCACCACGTTGTACGAACCGTAATTACGGGAGGCCTCACCCGACCAGTAGTTCCAAATGCGTTGTTTCCTGGTAGTTTATGGCGCTGCTGATATACAAAAGCACACACACAAAAGCTAGATGTATGGGACTGACGACTCTAGACACCCACGACGGCATGATACGTCAGTGGTGCAGTGACCGCCGGGCTATTCCAGCACGTCGTTGTGGCCCGTGTTTCGTGACTCCTGGTAAACGGCTCGCGTTTCGCAATTCGGAGCATCGTCGTTCGAGGCCGTGGTTTGTGTTTTCTGCCACCTGGCTCGTGCTTCGTGACTCTTTGGCTCGTGGTTCGTGATTTGGGGCCCATGGTTCGGGATGCGTTGGTCGTGGCCCGTGGTTCCCTTATCGTGTCTGGTGGCCCTGCTCGTTATGTGTGGTTCGTGGCCCATCGCTCGAACTATCAAGGTGGTTGATTGTCGCTTTGGCAGGGCGCTGGCTGCACGCAGAGCAGGGCATGCGCAGATAAGGCGAGGGTCGCCAGAGCACGGGAGACCCCTGAGGAAGAGTCGCGCAGTAAGTTTGCCAAGGATGTGCGTCGGGGGCCAGCAAGCAGCAAGACACCTCTTGTGTCCCCCGCCCGCCTTTCGTTTTGATTATGAGGCCGATATGCTTCGTGTTGCCCGTGCCTTTGCCGCCCGGACTGCTGTCTAGCAATGTGTTTATGTTTGGGTGTCTCATTTTGTAAGCTTATCTTCTTTCTTCAGGCAGGCAAAGCGTGGAGGATGTGCAAGAAAAGGACGACGCGGGACAAGCATGAGGCAGAGATTCAGATACTAGTTTTCATCTCCCCGGTATTTCGTGGTCGGCGCGATTTGCGGCAGCCTCGTCCATAGACACAAGCAGTAGTAACATCGAATTGGATGATACGGCAGGGGGTCACACCATCTCAGGACACACTCGTAGACGCGGTCGAGAACGCCGAGGTTGCCGAGATCAAGCGCGCCGTGTTCCGCTCTCATTCGTAATTGCGTGGACCGCGTGCAGCCCAGTATTTTGTTGTGTGTTTGTTTGATATGTCCTACATGTTTTGTGCGGTGGCGGATGTGTGTGCGTAAGGTGCGCGATAACGGTCCTGCGCGAATATGGCATGCCTTCTATGATACAGGATCTTTTCACCAAGTTCGGCCTTTCTGCATGAGTTTGGATCGCGTTATCGGTGGCAATGTCTAGCAAAGTGCCTGCCACAGAAACCCCTGGACTAGTGTCGCGCCCCATTGACAGCAATAGGGGGGCGCAATGGCATAGGACAGTACAATCGAAACTTTCAATACGGTTCGGAGCCTCCCGAAAGCCAGGATAACGCAAGCAGCGGACGGAAGGGGGGTCGGGTCCGACAGAACACGGTGTGCGTTGGCAGAAGTAGGACTATGGGTTTGAGGTTGGGGCCTTGGTTTTCAAAATATTGCATGGATTCGTTTGTAGACAGTCTGAGGATATGCGGTGCGTTTGTTTCGTATCGATGGTGCAGGTTGTCGCGGCATGTTTCCGTTGAGCAGACACGTTCGGAAACATAGCAGACATCTGATCCGATGTGTTGGTCAGTGTTACGCCAATGGACCATTATCAAATCCGTATTGCAGTTGTGATTCAAGCATCATTGGAGGATTCACGTTTGCACGTAAACGCTTTACGCGATCATGTTCCACCAGCTCCGTGCACTACTAGCGTGCGTGCGCGTGTTAGCAGCACGGCGTGGGAGCATTTTTCGGTAGCAGTGTTATGTGTGCGCGTGTTGAGTGGACATCGTAGCTCTGTTTGATGAGTCCTATTGGAACCGCAGTATCGGCAACGTGCACTGTCCTGCGTTAGTCTCGCTATTGCGTGTGGCCCCTTCCCGCGCCCGTCTGTCGGCTTCGCCCAGTCTGTATCCGCAATTCGGGGATTCGTTTACGTTTTCATTGCGCGCTTCTCATCTCGCCTCATCACCACGTCCTCGCTGTGTGCCCTCGTCACCGTCGTCGTCACCATCTCCTTGCCGTGTGTCGTCGTCGCCATCTCTAGCCAGCAAGAGTCAGTTTTGAGATTGTTCGCTTGTATCTGCTCGCGTGCCGTTCGACACGTACAAGTATCCCAGACCCTCGATACCCGCTATCTTCGTCTTCGATCCTGCCCTCACTGGAAGTACAGATTCCTCACCTGTCGCGTGCAGCTGGCGCAGCCCCTGAAACAGGGGAAGGGAGGGAGGAGGGAAGGGACGAGGGGGAGGGAGAAGGACGGAGCGCGAGAGAGAGATTTGCAGGAGGGGGTCAAGAGCAGGAGCACAAGCCGCAGAACCAGAACGGGCGGCTCGGGCGGGCGGACCCTGACGGGTAGGCCAGGCGGGCGGGCCCAGACGGCCTGGTCGAGCGGGCGGGCCGCTGAAGCGTCAATCGAATATCCATCGCGAGCAGGCTTCGCGCGATGGCGCGCTCGCCAAGAATACCGCGAGGAGGTCCAGAGCGAGAGCATGGCTCCTGAGTGTCGGGGGCGCGGCGCCACCATAAGTTTCGAGAAAATCTGCTACGCGAGAGTGCGATCCCTGGATAAATTGGCAGAAAGTCCCGCGCCCCACGCGAGAGCGCAAGTTTGAATAAATCGTGGAGAAGTATCAGGCGGGAGCCGTTGTTGTTGTAGTTCGGGGGTCAACCGTTTGTTCTGAGCAGGATGATTTGCTTTCGTAGAAAACAAAGTGCGGGTCCCAGAGGAAGCACTTTAATTGGAAAAGCACGAGGTGCACCAAAGAGGGGGGGGGTCAACAACACTTAAGTTTTAGAATGCAACAAACACAGCATCATGGTTTCACGCACCTATTTGGAGACCCAAGCGGGCCCCAGTAAGTGCACCCTCATGCTGTGTCAGACCGTCTTGGGCCACTCATCATGCATACCGCGCCCCATAGAGAGCCCCAGATAGCCCAGTGAGGGATAGCCAGACTGTCTAGGGGCGACCCCTCACGCAATTCGTGCACAATGAGGTGCCCACCTACGTCCCCAGTGAGGTCGCCCTCATACTTTGGCCCGGCTGTCTTGGGCCACTCTTAGGCATTTCGTGCCCCGCACGGCGCCCCGAACCGGGACTCGGTGAAGGCGTCCCCATATTGTGGCAGGACCTGGGCTATCCGTCACGCATTCCGTGTCCCATAGAGAGATGGCTCCGACTAGGGCATGGTGAGGTCGCATCGTCTCGGACCATCCCTCATCCAGATCGCGCCCCATAGGCGGCTCCAACTAGGTCTCAAAGTGGCACCCTCATACTGTGGCCAGACCATATGGGGCCACTCCTCACACATTTCGTGTTTTGTGGTGGGCCTTGCGTATGTCCTCGGCGTTTGCGCCTTCATCTTGTGGCCAGACCGTCTTGGGCCACTCCTCGCGCATTTCGCGCCCCATTAGGGCGCCCCAATTAACCTGTGATGGCACCCGGATGTCGTGACCATCTATCTTGAGCTTCCCTTCTCGAAATTTGTGACTTCTACGAACACGTGCACTTGCGAGCACACGAAGGTCGTTAGTTAGCCCGTTGGTTTCGAATGTCTTGCAGAGAGTATGTTGCACTGGTAGCACATCACTGTGATACAGCACAACCGCGCCATGTAACTAGTATCAGTGCGAGAGCAAGTGTTCTTTCCATTGGATTGCAAAGCTCGCATGATTCAGTTTTCGTTGAGACATTGGGAGTTGGAGCGACGGGTGACGACTGTTTGTGAGCATGTGAGCGCTAGAGCGTTAATGCATCATCATCGTTGGGTGTTGCCGCATCTACGAGCAGAGTCAAAGGAACGGGCGTCGGGCCTGGAAGAGTATACAGGTTTCGCGCCCTTACACGGCTACGTGCGGCTACGATCAAGGAGTTTGACACAATTGCACGTCTTGAGACGCAGGCCACCAAGTTCATCATATCAGTACACAGAACATGTGAATGCAGGTGGGGAGAAGGATTGATACTTGGGATTCTCCAGTAAGTGCAGTCACGCATGAAAACGGGCAGTCGAAGCCACATGTTTTTGTTTTCATGTGTGGTTAGTCACGCGCCGCTTCTGCTTTCCTCCTGGCCACGCAAGGTTACTCGATTTGTTGTTCGGTAGACTGTGTCTGATGGTCTAGTTTCTAATGACGACTCTTTTCAGCCGCCTTCTGGCCGAGCTGTGTGCGAGTAAGGCCCAGGGCCTATTATGGCCTGTCGTCCTGACCAGGCTGGGGGTGAGCATGCGCTGGCCTATGACCGGCCCAGCTTGGCCAGGGCTGGCTATTTGGACGCAGTTGCATCCTTTGCCAAACTGATGTTGGGGTCCCACCTAGCGATTGCGTAAATATGTGGTAGTTTTGCTCTTGGAACAATTTTGAAGTGAACCGGTTCTGAACGGCCATGCAGAAGGTTGAGCGTTCTCGCTTGGCATAGGGAGACGAGGGTCCTAGACGGTCACGGTTTGGTGGCCACTCCTTTTCAAGTGCATGGGTGGACCTTCATGAGTGCTCGAGGAGTCTTGCACGAGCGTTGACACAGGGAACGAAATCACAATTTGCTTTGTCGGAGCGTTCGGGGTCACTCGTCTCTTGAGGGTCAGTGATATGATGTTGGCCGCCCGCATTGCCCGATGGAGTTTGCACCGCGAGGCTCACGCCCTTCGCTGCAAGCCGTGAGCACGCACTAACGGGGAGGAGGACGAGGATGAGGCAGAGGCCGGGCATGTGCATTCGAAATCGTGGTTCGAGGGTCCAGATCATACGTATTCTGCCTGGTCTGAGTTGCCGGAAAGTTCAGGGGAGCAGTTGGCGGGTTCATATGTAGCACCCCGCGGTTGCGGAGAAGAGTGAGGGGGCGGGCGCGGGGTGCGTCGCGGGTGGGTCGCGGGCCAGGTCGCGAGAGGGACGACGACAACAACGCGACGACAACGCTACGTAATGACAATCCGCACCGCCGAGCCCCAGTGAACGACCGTTCGGCCCCCTCACTCTGATCTGCTGTGTGGCCTCCCCGCTCGCCGCGGCTGCCGCGAGGCCATCGACGCCTACAACGACGCCCACCACTACCGCGCGGAGAACCCGCTGGCGCACCTTCACGAGGACGAGGCCCCCGTCGAGACGGACAAGCTGAAGTCCTTCCACTGAGGGCCGCCTCGAGCGCGCGAGCGCGAGCGGCCAGGGGATCGATCCTGCGGAGAAAGGATTGCTCCCAGCCTCGGCCCAGGCCCTTTGGCCCGTGCTTCGGTTCCCGCCTTGGCCTCGGCCCCGGCTCCGCCGCCGGCTTCGGTTCGGGCACCGGCCCCCGCTCCGGCCCCGGCCACAGTCCTGGCCCTGGCCCGGGCCCCGAGAGAGCGAGGCGGACGCCGCCCTTGAAGGGGGCGTGTGGCCGATGGCGTGAGGAACGGGCGGGCTGGGCTCGGCTCTGGTTTCCAGGCAGTTCTTTCGGTCTACGTCGAACAGCCTACTCGTGGCCGAGGCGTTCCTGATTCAGCGCCCCTTGTGGTAGCACGATGACTGTATCCCAGATGGTTGAATAAGCGTGGGGTGGTGGGTCGCGCGGGGAGTGTGACGGTTCATGGCCGTTCCGTCGCGAGGCGTGGGGGGGAGGGTGGCATTGCGTTGGGGGATGGGCTCGGCGCGCGCGGGTGTGGGGGCTGGAACGGGCTGTCAGGGGGGTGACGTGGAGGGTGCTAAGCGAGCAATTTGGAGAGTCGTGTGCAGGTTTGTCGTCGGCTTGTCAGTTGTCGTGATTGGAGCGGGTACGGTAATGCCCGCGGGCGGCAGTAGTTGCGCCATTTCGTTGAAGATCCACGCGTGGCGCAGGTTCAACTCAGGTCGTTTTGTTGCTATCGGTTCGGTGTGCCCAGATTGTTTCGCCCGCAGTTCGTGTTGCCGAGCATCGTTTCTCTTGCGCTCTGATTCGCCCAAGGTTTGCCAGACACGTTGCGCTTCCGATCAGTTTCGCCATGGGTTCATGTCGCTACCATTGCATTCTCATTCCGATCATCGTCTACTCCATCTGTGCCTGGCATCGTTTCTTGTTTGAGCGTACCACTGGCGTGTGTTGCTTGCAGCAAGCGTGTGCTCTTGGAGGGCGCCTGGATTACGTTCCCGATTCCAGCACACGAGTGATATATTTTCTCCAGATATCAGATACACGTTAACCACAAGCTGGTGAAAGCCGATGAAAACTTGCCACGAGACACCGTGAGACCAGACTGTTTGCGCTGTTGGAGCTCTCGTGGCTGATTGGTCACACGCGTGAGTTTGGTGTGGGCCGCCATAGCTTTCAAAGTATTTGTCGCGGGTGGAGGGGCACCCCAGGGTGCCCTCAAGCAACGCCCCTGCAGGGCGCAGGTTGTTCCCGCAATGGCCGAAGCGGCACCTGCAGGTGGGGCTTAGAGAACTGCTCTTCACGCGCATGGAAAGAGGAAGTTACCTTGTGTATTCGTTCCTTCCTTTTGTCGGCAGTCAAGCTGTGCTCATACTACTAGTTCGTCTCTTGCACACCCAGCCCCTGCCAAGTCGTGTCCACCCACTCGGCATTGCCCTCTTCCAGCACGGCGCCACCCATCGCCGAGTGCGGCCAGCATCATTGAGCAGAAGGGGAAGTGAACATGGGGCTCAGCAGAACAAGTGGTAAAAGCTGCGGATTCACACACACACACACGGCATGTCTCCTGGAAGATCGGAGGAGGGCAACGTGAGACAACGGCCGTGAGACAACGGTGGCCAAATCGGCTCAAAATCGGTCCCCGGACCCCTCCCGGGGTCCAAACGCACCGATTTTTCACGCTGCGTCCAGCCGTGGCGACGAGGAGGCCCCTCGGAGGCGAAAAAGGCAAAAACGTCACCCTTGTCTCACCCTGCCCTCCTCTGAGAAGATTGGGGAGAGAGTCGGAGTCAGGGTCCGGCCCCAGGGGCAGAGGGGAGCAGAACGGAGGTCCGTGCCTCCGGTGTGGCCGGCCGGGCGCCAGCCACGCCGCGGTGGTGGCCGTCCCGTCCATCTTCCAGAAGGAGGGGCCAGGGAGCGGACGGAGATTGGGGAGGATCAGAGGAGCAAGACCTCATGATACTGATACGTTCCAGGAGTTTACGTACGTTCCAAGAGTTTACAGATGTCCCGGATTGCCCACACCTCCTGGTGTTTCGCACCGGCTCTGCCGCTGGATGCTCTGGAGATCCTGGAGCGCATCCTGCGCCAGCCCTATCAAGGCATCCCCCTCGCCCCCGCAC